TTTGCCACTGAGCTAAATCCCCAGCCCCTGACTTCAATCTTTATATAGAAGATTGGGAAAAAATTAGGGAGGATTGTGCTGAAACACAAAACATCCTTTCAGAGCCAGTCCACCCAGCCTTTCAGTCTCAAGATCCAAAAGAACCTTCTCCTGCTTTATCATCACACGTGCTCTTCCTTAAAAGCCATAAAAAATTAGAAGAACTTGAGCAAAGGAGATAAATTCATTAAGGCCACAGGGAAAAGGCACCTAGATAAGTGTTTATGGCAATCAAACCAGTTTTGTCTGAAAAAAGAACAGAGAGAAATTAAGTTGAAACTGGATTTCTCCGGCGCGTATTTCTGCCATGTGAATGAAGTCTGCCGAACATGTTGTATGTGACTTGTGCTGACGGTGGGCTGCTCATACACGGAGGGTGAGCTCATCTCAAGAGCAGCCCGAGACCACGCCACGGCCTCTCAGGTCAAGCATATCTGGAGTATCTGCGTTTCAATTTCATCAGTGTCAGTGTTCCTCCGTTACAGCACGGTTCTCCCAGAGCTGACTGCTAAAGCAGAAATGTGAACAGCTGCTGTCAGCAGCACTCACCAGTGGAAACGGGCTTAAGTGTCTGCTGCAGGTGACACGTAAAGCAGCAACTGCCCTTGGGAGGACAGTGTTCACTGGTGCAGGACAGTGGTCCCACCACTGAGCTGTGGCCAAGACTATGGAGAACAAAGGGTGGTTTCTCCTCTATGAGAAACCCAAAATATAAATAATGTACACAGCAAAAGAGGAGACGGCAGGGAACGGGGAGGCAGACTCTGCGGAGCCCGGAAGGGACCTAGCAAGGGCGGAAATGGGCGGAGCGGGGGAGGAGGAGTGATGGGAGGAGCGGTAGAGATGTCAGATGTGTATCTACGGACTCCCCAGCAGGAATGCCATTGTCATGTATTGCCGAGATATACCAACAATTAAAGAAAAAGAATGGGTGAGATCTTACAGCTCAGTGCAAAAGGAGGACGGAGGAGAACAAAGCTACAGAAGGCAGCAGAGAGCAGAAAACGAGCCTCTGATGCAATTGTTGGGTGGGAAACAAACGAAGCCGGTGAAGAGGACAGAGAAAAGCCTCAAAACTCGAGTTTTGGGTATTTAAAAGAAATTGAGACGCGTTTTCTTCGAGACTGAAGAAAGCATTTGTTTGATGCATGGGATGAAACTTTAATTGCAAAAGTATCAAATGTGATAAAAATAATGATTACATGTAACTGGAATGTAGGATCCTTTTGGTTTACTTGAAGATTTTATGGTTCTGCTTTAAAATAAAAAAGTTTCAGTTTAACTTGGAAAATGACATTGACTTGTAGTTTTTTTTTTTTTTTTTGGTTTTTCTCCGGAACCGGGAACCGAACTCACGACCTTGCGCTTGCCAGGCAGGCGCTTTGCCACTGAGCTAAATCCCCAGCCCCTGACTTGTAGTTTGATGGCCACATTTTCCTCGTAAGAGTTTCAGTAACACGGTGTGTTCAGTTTTTCTCTTGCGTAGTTATTGACAGCTAGTAATTACCTATTCATCCCAAAGTCCCTTTCAACCCCAGCTAACAAGGGGAGTTTGCATTTATTCAGCGGCCCAAGTAAAAAGAGGGGGTGCAAAAGGGAACAAACTTGCTTATTTAGATAAATCTTTGATCTCAAAAACATAAAGACTTTGCTGATACACATACTATCTTTGGAAATGGCCTAGATCAAATCTTTGGAAATGGCCTAAATCAAATCTAGCAGCAGAAATTTTCTTTGAATACTCATAGTTAGAAGTGAGGGAAAGAAAGGCATCTGTCTGTACCCACCCATACCCTGAGCCTTAGAGCACAAATGAATGAAAGGATCAATATCAATCCTCTGGCTGGATAATTGCTCCATCAGCAGACATGCTATCTTCCGCATTTCTCTTACAGAAGAACAAAATTGTATTTTATGTTGAAAATGAAAACCATACAAGGCTCCCCCTACTTGCACTGAGACTCACAGCTGTGTGAGTAAACATTAGCTGCCTTAGAATATATGGTAATGGGTTTGGGTTAACCTTTTGGTTGCTTGATTTTTAATTTAACCATTGACATTTATGCTTTTCCTACAACCAGCAATAATCTTAAGGTACACACGGCAGGTTTACAAAGCAAGTTCAGTGTTTTTTGCAACTGGCTTCAGCAGATGTATTATTCGAGTTCTGAAATCACACTCTTAGGGTTTCAGGACCACCTTGGGATTACCCAAGGTCTGTGATCCTGGAGGCTGCTGCCTTCCGCATGATCTAGCTTTCTCATTTTATGGAAGAATGTTATGCTAAGAGTGTCTACAGCCTTGTCTTTGAATAAAGCAGTATAGAGAAGCCCAAGAACAAATAAATTTTGATAAATAAAACCATTTGTCATTTGTTCTCCTTACTGATAAGCACTGATATTAAAGAATAATCATTCTACCTTTATTCTCAACATAGTAAATTGTTACAGTAATGCATGCCTATCTATAACAAAAGCACCTGCTGTTTTGTCTACCTTACGGAATGCTATGGCATTTCTAGGCACAATCACTGATTGTTCAAATCAACCCCTCTCTGACTTATGAATCAGAGACTCAAAACTGTCACTTTGTAGAAAAATTACTTTGTAAGTTTTCTAGAGCTAAGAGCACAAATTTCATTCCTTTCACCCTTTGAAGTTTTCATGAGAAATATTTGACAATTACTGAAGAAATCCATTATCCTGGTAAATATATTTAAATCAGTGAAGAGGAAGAAGAAATGTTCAAAGCGAGATGCAGTCAGGCCCTTACCTATGAGTGTGTGAAAGACAGCAGCGATGGCTCCAGCCACCACCATGCACAGGACGGCTTTGGTCCTGTCCCGCTTGCTGTTCACGAACACCAGGCCCACATTTTTAAAGTCACTCATGGGACCCGTGAAGAACTTCATCAGGGAATACGCCAGCCCATAGCTGGCCAGCATCTCCACTGCATCCTCCTTGACGGCAGCGATGCCTCGGTTCAAGGCCTGGTGGGGAGAAGAACCCATAACAGCATTAGATACGGCGTCCCATCATGGGGCATCGTGCTGCTAAAATAAAACTCAGCGAAGATGTTTCTACAGACGCTGTAGGCAGGGCAGAGGGTAAGTCATACTGTAATTTGATAAAGGTTTTTGGTTTTCATTTTTATCCATGTTAGGTTCAGTTTGAGAATGTTTTTGTCGGGGATACCTGACCATTATGGTTAAAGTAGAAGCAAAAACCTCAAGTATTTTATATTAATATCAGAAAATAATTCCAAAGAGTTTTGGTTAAAAGCTGACTTTTCGAAAAACTTAGTATGTTAAATATTATTTGTAAATCTACATAATAGCAACAGACATTCTAGAAGTGAACCAACCAGTTTATATGGCGTGGGTGACGATTTTTTTCTTGAAAGAAGGCCTGTCTATGTGTGAGTAACCTTAAACACCGTGTATGTGTTCTTTGTGGTAGAGAGAGCTCTATGCTGTTTAAAAGTCATTATATCACCATTGCATGCTGTCCATCTGATTCACGCTGTATTTACACGAAATACACTCGTGAGCTCTGTGCATACAAATGCATACTCAATGGTACTGTACAATGTTCCTTTAGGAAGATGTCATAGAGGATTCTGATCACTTTAGCCCTCCTTCAGGAGAGACCCTGGCTGTAAGGTTCCAAACCACCTCTCCCTTCTAGCAGACAAAGAGCACTGGAGATGGTGCAAATGGGTACCCAGGTAGCGAGAACTCCGAGACTAAAACACCTCCAGAATGCTGCCCCTGTCTTTAGGGACAAACTACTGAGCAGAAAAGCTGGCCTTCAGTATGCTGTATACTTTAAAAAATAGGCTACTTTTAAGAACAGTTTGAGTAAAATGGAATGGAAATTACAGAGTTCCCATTTGCCCTCTGCTCCCACAAACACTCAGCCTCCTGACTATGACACCCCACACCAGAGTGGCCCATCTGTCACAACAGAGCCATCTACTTCGACTCCTCACTACCCCAAGTCCGGAGTTTGCTGCAGGGCTCACTCGTGCTGGTGGTGTACACTCTGGGTGTGACAAATGCAGACATATCGCAACCATCAGCATAGTTGTATGTTTTTAAAAAATGCTACACTGAGGTCCTTATCATTTTTCACTCTTCCATTTGAATCATGGCAACATTCATAAAACTCCTATCAATCTCTGCAGCACAAACTTGAAGCAGAAGAAGTGAAAAGAAAACACACTTCTCTTGGTTGGCCTGTATTTTTAAGCAAACAGTGGTCCATAATCTTCTCTACAAACGTACAGCTCTAGCTCACTACTACTGAGTACTACCTGCTATGCCCATTAAAGCTTATTTATGTAACACTTAGTGAGCAAATAGGTCTCAGGGCTCTGGTTAGGGCACCAGCAGTGTCTACTGCCCATCTAAAAGGAATTAATTTGGTAGATGATCACATGTTAAGTTTTGACACAGAGCAGGAACCCTCTGGCTGGACGTAGATATTGAACACAGGATGTATTATGAGAGTGTTTGTTGGTTTTTATTTTTATTTTAGAGTGTTAAGGTGTTTGATTAGCATCAGTATAAGAAAACATAATAGCAAAAAGAGAAAAGGCTATATACAACAAAGCCAATCAATCTTCAAATGTAGTATTTAAGAATCATAGTACATTATAACAAAACAAACCCGATCTACTGTCTCACTGAATTAAAGAAAGCATCAAATATAAGGTACAGTATTAGTTTTATACCATCAAGAAAGAAAAAAATGTTCCCAGTTATAGTTGGATGCCAGTTGGTTGTAAGATAGATCCAGATGTCAAGATGCTAAAGTGTGTGTGCATGTGTGTGTATTAGAGTGGGGGTGGGGTGCAGTGTGCATCAGAATCTATGAAAGGAAGTATTTCATGGTACACTGAAAGTTATTCCTCAGATTGAAAGGCTGACCTAGGTTTTGGTTTCTAACACAGTACTGTCAGCATACCCAGCACAGGCACAGATTGAACTGATCAGCAGAACTCAAGGGCTTTAAATTCTTTGCCTGTACTTTGTTTTATCCCCTTTCCTAGGAAATACAGCCACCTGGTACAGTGAACACTCACAGAACTGAGCATTCCTTGCAAAGCACCGTTAGAGTGGAAAATTGTTTAAAGGAAAATACCACAGTGCAAGACTGACTTTAGAAAAATCTACAATAAAAGTATACGGTAACTAGGAATTTACTGTCATCCTTCTGACAAGGCTGGCATTATATAAGCTAGTTTCTGATCACTGTTTCCAATTATATCTCAAATTTTCTTTTCCTTTTTTTCAGTAATAACTGCAAAACTGCCACAAGGGCTTGCTCAGTCTCTGTAGGGGCACCCTTGCTATACGAATGTTTTCTTATACTGATGCTAATCAAATACCTTAACACTCTAAAATAAAAATAAAAACCAACAAACACCCTCATAATACATCCTGTGTTCAATATCTACGTCCAGCCAGAGGGTTCCTGCCCTGTGTCAAAAGCAGTAGACACTGCTGGTGCCCTAACCGGAGCCCCGAGACCAGACAGTGTACCCTCCCAAGATGCTGGGACGTGGCCACTAACAGCCACAGCTGTGTCCTCCTCAAGGCCAAGTCCCCAGCCACTCTGCGTGGGTTAAACACACCTGCCTCCTCACTGGGTCCCCAAGCAGCAGGAAGCTGGTGGCTGCCTGGCGCAGGGTATAAAGGATGAGGTCTCCTGCCTACACATGGGCCCCTCTGGTACCATTCATGCTCAGGCGTTCCCACAGCACCAGAGGGAAGCAGCCTCTGGTGGAGACCAATCCTCACTGAACTTCTTCCTGGGCACCATCTGGGTCCCTGGCTCTCCTGCTCGTTAAATCCCACTGCCCAAGAATCCACACACACAGGCTTTACTTCCAGAGATCTCAAGGGAGGACAGCTTCCCATCAATGGTGTCTCAGACACCAAGAACCTGTATAGTTTGGTCTTTTTCTATCTTTCTCCAAATGTGTGACTGTGAACTCTTTACTTGTTTTTATCCCTCAAAAACATGTTAAAATTTAAACAATATATATTATTTAGCACAAGTTTCCAAAGCACCTGCTAGCACACCTAAATAATGTACGACCAGACTGTTTTTGTGTCTGCTTGGCAAAACTTTATTTTTTGCTACGAAGATACCAGTTCTGGCTGAGGAATGTTTTCTATTTCCTGGATTTGAGTCCTAAACCTAGGGCTGCAGCAGGTGGGAAGAGGAAGGGCACAGGTAATGATAGCTCTGTCTGCAAGACTCGGTGAGAAAATTTCCTCTGGCTCAGCGATTACGGTAATTTGAGGAAAGCACACAGGGTTCAGAGACATCAGGCTTGAGCTGGAATGTGCTCCCATCACTCAACTGCCCAGTGGGCCAAGGGACTTTGTGCTCCCCAAAGCACCCCGAGTGGTCTTAGGTGGGATACAGGCAGGTGGCACGCAGGGCACCAATCACTGCCTGGCTCGAAAAGGCACCTGGAAGCAGAGACTTTTGCCTTTCTTCACCACTGTACCCCTGCCACCCTGCCACCCTGCCACCCTTGCCACCCTGCAAGACTGTGAATGTCTGCTGAACGAGCACACGCATTAGCTGTCTGCTAGTGAGAACTTCAGTATTTTTCCTAATTTTTAGACTTAAGAAAACTTTTAATTATGAGGTGTCATTGCTTGTAAGATGTATCACCGATTTAATATTTTAATGACCACGTTAAATATACACATTATTTGAAACCTCTATCCGGATTTCAAAACACATTCGAATGCAGGGAAAAAACCTTTAGAACGTTTGGTGCTTTAATGGGATTAGCCTTAGCATCCTCATTTGTAGCAAGTTATTTCCCCTAATTTCTCCTTGTCTTAGTTTTGTGATTTTCTTTTGATACCATAAATATTAAGATATTAGAGTCCACCGGTCATTTTATGGGCTTTGTTTCCATACTTTGAGGCTTTGCCATTCTTACGCATCCATGCCTAGGATAATTCCGCTCTAGTTTATGGCTTTATTTGCACATTTACCTTTTTAATCTTGCTGGAACTTATAATCCGAGATATGGATCAAAATTAATTTCCTCCAAATAGTTTCTTGTTTCAAAACTATTTCATGTATAAACCAACCACTGTGCATTGATTTGGGATGGTCTCTTCCAGGTCTGTGGTTTCTCACATGTCCTTTGGTCACTTCTTGTATGTGCCATCTATTATGGTTTGTCTGTGTGTTCCCCCAAAGCCTCATGCAGCCATGGGTCAGGCTTTTAGAGTTTGATTAAGGGTGTAAGAGCTGTACCTGACCTGGGGTGGGTAGTTTACATATGTAAGGGAGAGGAAGAGAGTGCTTGAGGCCATTTCTCCCCAATTCCGCCCTGGTGTGTGGTTGTTGCTTTGCTGTGTTCAGACGCCATGAGCTGTAGCTCTCTGCCATGTGCCAGTCTGCCTTGTAATCTGCCAAGTATGGACTGAAACCTCCACAAACTGTAAGCGAAATAAACCTTTCCTTCCTTCATTTTGGGAGTCAGGTATTTTGTCCCAGCAACGAGAGAAAAGTAACCGAGACAGCCATCTATCTCTACTTGCTCACCCTAGTTTTCTTCAAAGCATGGTCATTGCCTGTCATGTCACATGGGCACTTTCTGTTTAGTGTCCACATCCTCTACCTGAATGCTAAGCCTCAGGGAGCAGAGACCTACGTATCACTACTACATCCCAGACCTACAACATGGGAGATGAAAGAATGCTACAAAAATGTGCACAGGCCATACAGACATTTAGTGTGCTATGTTCTGAAGAAAAGAAATATGCCAATGAGGTGGATACCTCTTGGAGGAGCTTATTTAGACAGACAAAGTAGTGTCACTACTCTGTAGAGGCGATACTGGAGCTGAGACCTGGAAAACAGGGAGGAGTCAGGTGGATGAGGAGCAGGAGGAAGGCAGAGCCCTGCAGAAAGCTCTGGAGCTTAAAGAACAGCAGGAGTCAGGAAGAGA